ATTTTGCCAAATCAGTAGCAGAAATGTGCCTGTCAAAGCTTTACATTGTGACTTTATATCCAACGAATAACTATTTCAGATGTGTTTGACTTTTATTCCAGTTTAGCTGTTGTGTGAAGCTCATGATGGCATTTGTAGACAAGCGTTTCATATCATATATGTTTTTATGTACTGCTACAGTATTCCTATTTTCTATTCAGTGCTCTTGACATCTGGTGCATTTAATTAGTTTGCAGATTAGTATTTATCAAGAGCTATGAACTTCTTTTTAAATAGTTTTTAGATTTGTTTTTCAGGAATTTTAAATGTTTTCGAAGCACTACAAATATGCCAAGGATTCAGCAATACTGCTCTAGTCCCTCGATATCTTCAGGGAATATCTGCATTAAGTATTTTCTCTTACCAGAGATAATTTTGCCTTTATTTGGATGATTATTGGGGCCGACGCTTGTTTTTTTTCTTGATTTTAGCAACCCGGCTGAAATCCAGTTCAATATATAAACATTTATATATGTTTTTTTTTTCTACACAGGTCTAATTTTTGTATTGCATGTTTGATCTGTTTGATATTCATAGCATCGGGGGTGTATAGATCCACCTCACCATGACTTCTTTATTGTTTATGGTTACTTTATAGATGGGTTATGAATTGAAGTGTGTTGGATTTGTGGATTGTGCAGACGGGGTGATTTTTAGTAACTGTAGGTCAAACTGAGCTCATGACGTCCTTCATAAGGACCGAGCGGGTCAGAAAGAGCTGATACGAGCTGTTCTCGAACCCGAGTGACCTCAGAGACGTCCACACAGTGGAGCCGTCGGCTTCTTCAGTTTTGGACAACTAAGGACGAGATCCGGTGGTCTCGAGCGGCCCGTTCTGCTCCAGACACTCAGCAAGAGGGACCTTTAATGATTTAACGACTTTCTATGATATAAACTGCTTTTCCAGAACCTAAATCATGCAATTTCTCACAGAGTTGAATATGGCTACAGTTTCATAAAATGCAGATTTGTTTGTTGTGTTATGGGGTGAGATGAAATCTGGTGAGTGTAATTTGTGCCGGTTGATGCCAGACTTATGTAGCGCTCCACACTTCAGCATGCTTTAGGTTTTGTTCGATTACTGATGTGAATGTTGGCCACATGCTGGAAAGCTCAGAAAACAAACTGTGTACCACAGAAATATGATGGCGGTGTACTGTACGTGAGAAATGTTGTAACATCTAAGAAATCTCTAAAATTGTCAGTGAAATCAAAAAGGAAAAGAATAAAACCCGTTCTGCTCCAGACACTCAGCAAGAGGGACCTTTAATGATTTAACGACTTTCTATGATATAAACTGCTTTTCCAGAACCTAAATCATGCAATTTCTCACAGAGTTGAATATGGCTACAGTTTCATAAAATGCAGATTTGTTTGTTGTGTTATGGGGTGAGATGAAATCTGGTGAGTGTAATTTGTGCCGGTTGATGCCAGACTTATGTAGCGCTCCACGCTTCAGCATGCTTTAGGTTTTGTTCGATTACTGATGTGAATGTTGGCCACATGCTGGAAAGCTCAGAAAACAAACTGTGTACCACAGAAATATGATGGCGGTGTACTGTACGTGAGAAATGCGGTAACATCTAAGAAATCTCTAAAATTGTCAGTGAAATCAAAAAGGAAAATAATAAAATGGTTTTATTAGCATGGATGTGTTTCATTGACTTAGTCTTCACCAGCTGGTGTGCTAAAAACACAATTTAGTACGCATTCTCATTTCTATTGGTCCCTTGTGAGGAAAGATAAGGGCTTAATTGTATTGTAAAAGGAAAAGTACCCTGGAATTTATTGGATTGTGATGGCCATTGCATACAAGAGACCGTATTAGAGTTCAAATAAGCCTAAAATAACAATCAGAGAAATATCAAATAGCTGGTCAGCATATGAGGAAGGTGATTTCAATTTCACAATCTCTTTCATGCAATGATAAATAATCACAATGTACTGTAAATGAATTAAGTACACTGTAAAAAAAAAAATACTGTAAATTTACAGTAACACTGGCCATTTTGGTTGCCAGTAAGACTGCAAATTTAGAAAATACTGTAAATCAATAATTAATCATTTGAGTTAAGCTGGTAATGCTGTTTTAGGAGTTGTTAAATTATATCTTGAGAGATTTAATGATCTCTTGTATTTCAGTTGATTTCATCTCAGGCTGTTGCTGAAGTCAGATGTAGTTCTTGTGTTTCTCTTTCATAAAAGGAAAAGTACCCTGGAATTTATTGGATTGTGATGGCCGTTGCATACAACCGACCGTATTAGAGTTCAAATAAGCCTAAAATAACAATCAGAGAAATATCAAATAGCTGGTCAGCATATGAGGAAGGTGATTTCAATTTCACAATCTCTTTCATGCAATGATAAATAATCACAATGTACTGTAAATGAATTAAGTACACTGTAAAAAAAAAATACTGTACATTTACAGTAACACTGGCCATTTTGGTTGCCAGTAAGACTGCAAATTTAGAAAATACTGTAAATCAATAATTAATAATTTGAGTTAAGCTGGTAATGCTGTTTTAGGAGTTGTTAAATCATATCTTGAGAGATTTAATGATCTCTTGTATTTCAGTTGATTTCATCTCAGGCTGTTGCTGAAGTCAGATGTAGTTCTTGTGTTTCTCTTTCATTCAGTGATTCTGCTTGTTAAC